AAGTTAAAAGGAAAGTGTATGGGGCAAAAATGGAGAAATAGGGAAGACATCAAAATGCAGATAATGAGAAACTGTTGAAGGATGAGGGAAACAGGTTTATATACGAGATGATTTGACAGTATAAGAGAGAAAAATATAGATCTTGGAAAAAATGGTAAATGAGGAAAAGAAATAATAATAGATGATGTATTGTGGGTATGGGGAAATGATAAACAAAGAAGGAAAACTGCAATAAGAAAGTAGGTGAGGGAATGCTAGGGAAAATAATAAACTTGTATTGGCTTGGAAAATGGCGGGAATAAAGAATAAAAATAACAACTATTGAAATAATTTGAGAATTATATGTATTAGGTATTGTAGTAAGTAGCCTATATTATTTGTGGTGTGATGATTTTGTATGCTTGTGTATGAATAACTTAAAGTTATAACATGCAAAGGTGTTTTTGCGGAATCGAAGAAAATGATTCATAATTTTAACTCCTTTTTAACCAATTTTCTAAGTTGAACGCGCAAAATTTCGTTCTTTACAGTGGTTCAATTATTAGAGGCGGATACAACTGATGCGCTCTCTGCTTTGGGACCTCAAATAATGTGTAATTTATGAATATTATTTGTCTTTAATTTTCTTTTTAAACATTGGCATCGAGCTCTGACCCATGATCCGCCACTGTTCTTACAATTAAATTATTCCATTTGTCACATACTAATAAATATTATGTTTATCAAACGTGTAAGTTTATAAAGTGCCCATTAGAAACAAATGAAACGTTTACAAGTTTACATAGGGTGAACTGGTGAACACGTAATAAGTTATCGCTTTACAAATTAATAAACTAATAATGTACATGTTTATAGCACCTATAACATTACATTCAATAAAAGAATGGACCCGGTTAAAGCATAAAACAATATAATTACTAATAAACAGCCACATGTCTACAACTTCTTTTAGTAGTTATTATTACATACAATGCTTGCTCATTACATTTTCCACACACATATGAAATTACATTGTGTTTTGAAGACCGTGTTTAAACTCCATCGTTTTATATTGCAAGATTTCTACAGGTATAGACGAGTGTGTGCGTTTACTGAAATTACACACATTTATTCACTGATTAACTAGTTAACTACCTATACACACATCTAACAAGGATGAAGTTAGCGAAGAATAAATACAACAATTCAGTTTAATCTCAATAATTCTTTTCCTTGACGAAATATTTTACGATTAGTATACGAGAGAACTTTTTTACTTTATAGTTTTGGTGGGATTTCATTGCTTTATACTAAACTAGTTAATTTTTTTATTCATTTGCTATGGTTGCCTTCATTTACGTTTCGTTTGCTTGTGATAATTTCACATAGAATTAGAAATTACTGATTTTCTGAATCTCAGATCTTTTCGTTTAATGTAATCCATAGTAAGATCTTTCTTGTTACCAAATAAGATACACTATAAAAAAAAGTTGTACTATAAAACAGATAATAATGGCATCAGTCATAACTCGTCACAACATACGTCATCTCTTCATCTTCATAAGTTTTGCTGTTAATTAATTTGTTACAATGTTGCAAATAAATGCGGTTTAAATGATATTTAACATTCGTAACTCTCAGTGGGACACATGAAAAATCCTTATCGTTAATACAATAAAGCGTAGGTAATCTACCAAACTAAACAATTTCGGAAACACATTTTACACTAACATTTCGGTCCATATGGTAATGGTAATAAATTCCAACAAAGACCGTTTCAAGGATTTGTAACAATAAAAATATGACTATTATATCCGAGTTTGTTGTCGTTATTACTGAGATTTTTAGTGTCGGTTTGTACATAGTACATTTACAGGACTATTAAAAACTGATTTTACATCAAAGTTGTCATTATTAACCGATGTCTTTATAACCAAATTCCGTTGTATATACATTATAACACCCACTAGTACGATGGGACAAAATGTGACAAATAGAAGGGCAAAAATTTCAAATTTATAAATTTTCTACACATATTACTTACCTACAAAGAAGAACTACATATGAATGTGCTATACTGGACGGGAGAGTTCTGAAAATAATAGAAATCATGTAATATTAAACTGTAAATCGTCATTACTGTGAATGGCCATTCGCCATCCCTTTCTAACCGAGCTTTTTGTTAGTGTTCTGTACTGCTGATCGTTTGTTAGACTAAAAACATCTTAAAGAAAAGTCTACCTATTTGAAAATAATGAAATTTTACATATATTCATGCTTTAATACTTGTAATACAGGTATATGCAAAACAGGAATTATTGCACCTAAATTATTGTACCAAACAAACATATCTATCGATATGTTGGAAGGATATGACTGCAGATGTACATCATTACTACGAATTAAAGAAATAATTTTCCAAATTAAGCTTTCTTTACGCATTCGATGGAGTACATTCACTTGCCATATCATAAATACGTAATAAATAAGTACTTACAAGAGTACTAGTCCACATATCATTTTATATGTGGAAGTTATAAATATTTAACAAAAATATGTACATATATGGCATACGTTTGCAAAGAAACAGAGGAAGACAACGGGTGCAATTAACTCACAACCAATGCATCTACATTATTTTCAACAATTTTCGAAATCGTCATAACGCATCCCTATACCCGTTTACACAAATCATTATTAGCTCATTACTTACCTACCTACAAGTAAATTACATCGGTGGATCAAGTGAGCTTCACTAAAAATTACTGATAGATATCAGATAGCATAGCGAAGTTTAAACAAATTTGTGCCGTACAATAAGAATTCAAATGTAAAACAGTTTTTGCGAGAATTAAAATGTCTCTTTCGCATGATAACAATGTTTATCGGATAAACAGTTGCAAATGTAAACTAAGTATAATATAAATGATTTAAATAAGTATTCGTTGAAGTTAAAATCCTTTTTTTTATATCTACAAATATTTTTATAGCTTTCTGATCCATCGTACAAAAAAGTTAGCATTACATAATTTTCTTTATTTTGACGTAAATCAGAAAAAAATCACTGTACCTATAGCTTTTCGCTAGTTGTCTTGTAAAAAAGCCTTTCTATATGGCATAATGCTGAAGTATGTAATCATAATTGCGAACCATTAATCTTACCAAGGCCGAATTACATCTTTGTGACGTACACCATAATGGCAAGGATAAGGAGAAGATGCTTCGTTGTAAACAAAACACATTGTTTTAAACTAGCTGTAAGTATTCAACTAGAAGATTATTTAATATTTTGAAAAGTTGCGCTTATGAATGCACGTATGCTGTTTTTTTATAGAAAAAAAAAACATATATTTCATCATTTCAATAAGTTCTACTGAATAAAATACATACTTTTGACAATTTCCAATGATTTCTTGATTGGTGCAATATAAAACATTTTGTAATATTAAAGAATAGCAACCACCACCAATGTTTCAATTTATTAGTTTTACTAAAAAGTACTTAGTTACTAAATCTATGCGAAAAAGATTTATTCAAATAGGTAGATGAATTTACCTGGGACATTAAAACAGAAATTCCTATTAATTACTAGTCTGCTGTTGTATAAATTGTAGGATTGTTATTGATACAGATGTCTATTATAGGAAGGTTTAGGAAGGTCTGTTGTTCATTGGTAAAATGTGTTTAAATTTTTGAGATTTCTTAATTTCTAAGTGTTCTAAAAGATCTAAACATTTACCTTTATTTCATACACATAACAATTCTACACATTCTGCATTGATAATGATTGTTTACTATGCAATGTATTGGAATACCTGAAGTTATTTGTCGGTTAATAATGGAGTTTGTATGTCCTTTAATTCTAATTATAAGTAATTTTAATCAGTTTGGCCTATATAAAATGCATCACATGTATTACAATGAATTTTATATGCAAGGTTTCTGTTTCTGAACCTGCGATTTATGGATCCGCGAGGGAGGAACGTCTATTTAACAATTTAGATAGACAGAGAAATATTTCAAAAATATATTTTTTAATGATTTACCGTTTTCAAAAAGACATAAATTCACATTTGTTTCAGAAGATTCTCTCGTAGGAGAATTATAAAAATTGTTAATAGAATTGTACTTAAACCAAAACATTTGTTATTTTTTTGTACCTACCTATTGTTCTTCAACAGTAGAATTTCAAAGATCATCATTTTCATGAATTAACACCTCTCTAATTGTATTTAAGTAGCATAAAAAAGTAAAGCAAGCAAAAAAGGAGCAACGCAACAACTTTTCTTCTGTTGTTAACCAAACCAAACACTATCGAAATATATTCACAATGTGATTTGTTGTATGTGAAATGAAGAAATATATAAAAGAAGAACAAACGGTGAATGGTGTCACATGAAGTAAAGAATGTCTTCTGTGTTTCTAAAAAAACTATAGGAGTTTTTTATTTCTGTAGATCAGCAATGAGAAACTTTTACTTTATTTCAGTTTGGAACATATATACCTTTTAGTTATCTCTTTATAGTATCTATACACAAGGTTAATGAAACAGTTTAATTTAAAAGAATAGTTTGGTCATAAAGGGTGTCGAGTAGAAAGGATTTTATTCAATAAAACTGAAAATATGCTTTATAGTTTACCATATTTATCGATAAATGTAACTTGAAATTTATCGTTAGTTTCTTTTATTAGCCCTTAAAAATAACCAGCACAAAATTCAAAATCAATAACAAAAGCTACTGCTAGTGGATTTTTGAAGCATGTAAATGAATTTTGCTCTTGAAAGCCTTCAAGTATCATTAACACGGTCGCAATGGTAGACTTTGCGGTTAAATTGTAAGTGGGTAAATTGCGGTCATTACAAATTAGAAAAATTACCAAACACTCGCCACCCAAAAGTTTCGTCAAATTTATAAATTGCTTGCTTTTCTTTATCCAATTTCTGTAAGTGATTAAAAAAAGCGAGCCAGACTGTTCCCTGGTTTTATTTTCCGTAAACTCTACTAGTTGTAATAAATGAGTTTGTTTCGCAAACATACACTCGTCCGTAACCCAATTTTTGGCCAAGATAAGTCCGAATCCCTTTCAGCGCGCACACCGCTCGTTCTATACGCAGAAGAGAGACGCACGAACTTCGAAAAATTAAAAATACCGCCGCTCGTAACCGAATCGATACGATCCGTTCAAGTCACGTGCACAGTCCATGAACCAATGAAAAGGAGAGGCCAGAGCTACAGACTTGGAGCTAGTACGCGACAATTTTACACGTTAGTTCGAACTAAGCCGTCGAAGTGAATGTATTCGTTCGTTTCTTTACAAACACGTGTATGTGTGGTGGGCACGTAACTTTGAATTCATCCGTAATGTAAGTGCCAACAACAACGAGACGGTCCATCGCAAAACAAAATGATCGAGGATCCGACGCAAATGCGGTTAACGGAAATCCCTGTGCCCTTAATATCGACGGCAACATTAATTCGGCATCAACAACAACACGGTACCTGCAGATACCAGCCGTACCATCGTTACCACCACCAGTCGCACGTACAAAATCCAGTTATAGAGCTGCACAGACTTCAACGGGAAATAGAAATTGAGGAATACTACGACCAGAATCCAGGACAGACGCACATTTCGGCGTTGTATCCGGAAATATTAGCTCTCATATTCTCGTATTTGGATGTGAGAGATAAAGGACGCGTAGCACAGGTGTGTACCGCCTGGAGGGACGCAGCGTACCACAAGTCCGTCTGGCGAGGAGTAGAGGCCAAGCTGCATCTGCGACGAGCAAACCCTTCGTTATTTACGTCCTTAGTAAAACGTGGTATTAAGAAAGTCCAGGTGCTGTCATTCAGGCGCTCACTGAGAGACGTAATACAAGGAATACCCAACTTGGAGTCTCTGAATCTTAGTGGGTGTTACAACGTTGCCGATATAGGCATTTCACACGCTCTGGTCTCCGAGGTTCCTTCGTTGACCATGCTAAACCTGTCTTTATGCAAACAGGTGACGGACAACTCCTTGAGTCGAATCGCGCAATACCTGAAGAATCTTGAAGTCCTCGAACTCGGAGGATGTTGCAATGTGACGAACACGGGTTTGGTACTGATCGCCTGGGGACTCAAAAAACTCAAAAGACTGAATCTTAGATCCTGTTGGCACGTCAGTGACCAAGGAATTGGACACATAGCGGGATTCAACCAGGACGCGTCAGGTGGTAACCAAATGTTAGAATATTTAGGATTACAAGACTGCCAAAGGTTGTCGGACGAAGCTTTGAAGCACGTCTCGCTGGGTCTCAACGGCCTAAAAACGATAAATCTTAGTTTTTGCGTCAGCATCACCGACAGTGGTCTGAAATATTTAGCTAAAATGAATTCTCTACGTGAACTGAATTTACGTTCTTGTGATAACATTTCCGACATCGGTATGGCCTATTTGGCCGAAGGTGGATCCCAAATAACATCGTTAGACGTTTCGTTTTGTGAAAAGATAAGTGATCAGGCTCTCGTGCATATCTCTCAAGGTTTGTTTAATCTCAAGTCGTTATCTCTCAGTGCTTGTCAGATATCTGACGATGGAATACAGCGAATCGCCAAAACATTACACGACTTAGAAACATTGAACATTGGACAGTGCTATAGGATTACGGACAAAGGTTTGACGAACATAGCAGAGGCTCTTACCAGACTTAAAAACATCGACCTCTACGGCTGTCCGAAAATTACAACAGTCGGAATGGAACGAATAATGAAACTTCCTAATTTAAAATGTCTCAATTTAGGATTGTGGCACGTCAGGTGAAACGCAGGGAGCTTCTTTTAGGAATATGTTTTTTTTTCCGTTAGCGATGCTCAAACTAATAAGAGAGAAAGAAAAACAGAAACTCAAAGGTCTTTTTTTTAAAAAAAAAGAAAAGGCTGTTTTCCAATAGGTAATGTTTGTTTTATTCTTATCGTTTAGATAACAATACACGTTCGTGTACATTGTTAATTATTTACAACTGCGAACAAACGTAAAAAATGAAAACTGAAACTTGATATTTTTTAAATTAGTGCAAGGAGCTGTGATAGAAAATGAACGAATGACGTAAAGTAACTATAGATTTTACATATTATGTATTAGGATTATTCCATTTTGACGAACAATTAATAAGTCTGTATTATTATGAATTAATCAAAATTTGTTGTCTAACGAACTTCTTTCCTGTATTTTCCATTAACACTTACATTTGTATAGAGGTCAATACGTAAAATTCACCGTCATTGTAAACATAAAACTTAATATTTAAAGCCTAAATAGCTCTTCTCTGTCTCTCTCTATTTCTCTGTCAGAGCTATCGTAAAATTAATAATACATTCATTTAAAATACCTCAATATAGGATAATAGTAAAGAATGGATTTTTGTAAATATGTAATGTTATTCCGTTAGATACAGGCTGTAATGCCTAAAAACCGTTTTTTTTACTTTGAGTTCAAAAGAAATTGTTAATGTTATCTTGATTCTTGCGGGAATTTGCAATAATAATAGCAACATTTGTTTAATTCGAAAGTTGTTCAGTATTAAATTTCAATTTGTTAATGTTAATTATTATTAATTGGGATAAAATTAAAAGTGTACTTTTGTTTGGTCGAGTACCTACCTGGCGTTACATCATCGAAATACATAGTTTCCTTCAGACTTGTCTGCAGAATATTACACAAAATACAAATAAATAACTTGTCATTTTCTAAATAAAAACATTCGCAATTATCTATTCCTGTTTACTACCTACGAACAGACTCTATAAGATATTCCATGTCTTGTATAAAATTGTACAGGTGTAAGCTGCGTGTACATATATAAACTACGTTAAGATATGATTGTTAAAGCTGTGTTATGTTTTTTAATTGCGTCAAAATTAAAAAAACAATAAATTTTTATTAATGAATTTCGATTTATCATTTCTTTTGTGCACTACAGATTTAGCCATGAGACTAACTCATGACATTGCTGAACTAGTTCACGCAAACTTTGACTTATTGGAGATGTAGGCATGCATGCCTTAGTACTGTTAGTGGATGAGACGCTTTCAACAATTTTTTTTTAATTTGTAGAAGGCTAATCTGAACCATCTAATCTAAACCTTTAATACAGCGGTTGTTTATCATTTTGAGCTTATGGGCTCACTAATTATTATTTTATTATCTTTTTAATGTGCTGTTTGGTTTCTGTTTCAAGAAAACTTTGTTAAATTAATAGTGATCATAGACTTCTTGGAATTCAACCAAATCTGTTACAATTTTTAAGTAAAATGATGCATAAATACCTTATATACCTTTACGTTTAAATCAGATTATCTATCTGTTATTACTAGAAATAACAGTTTCCAATCCAAACATAAGGAGCAGGAAACTAGAAAGCCTACTCTGGTTTTAGGACTTTCCACCACTTCAAATCCTTCAAATTTGTTTGCCATGTTTCTATTCTTTTCGATAAAACTTTCGTCCAACAAAATTCTATTAAAACAGTGGCCGCTTTTCATTTCTTTAAAATTAATTACATATGTATGGTAATATTTTTGGATCATCCTCACGATGAGCAATGTACGTATACCTTCCTTTAAATGTTTATTCCAGACAACGTTATTGAATTGTAATAACATACGTTAAATTGTTTCGAAATTGCAATGTAGACGCAAACCAGTTAAAATTGCCTATGCGGAAGTCCCTATCGTAAAATTCATGTCAGATAAATTTCTCAACAACTAAACGCTAAATTAGTAATAGTAATAGAAGCTTTTTAACTGGAATGTTAACAATAGAGACTTCGCAGTATTGTTTATATTTGGTATCGGTTTCATTGGATTAACCGAATTTTAGCATTTTGCAAAGAAAAATGTTTCACATTTATTTGTCAATAAATAAGCAACCAAATATGTGTATTACAATTGTTGAAATTTAATGTTGATAATTATAATTAGGTATGTACTTTAAAAACGATAAAGCACCTTAAAACATGAAATTCTGCCACTCAAAGCCTTGAAAGCTGTAAAGCTCCGCAAATCACAGAAGTAAGTCGATATTTTGAGGGCATGCTATAGTCCACTTTTCCATAGGTATTTAAAATTCAGCTGAGGGCAACCTGAGCGTGAGAACAAGTTGTGCGAATGAGGCAGGAAATTGTAAGATATATTCAGTGTACCTTTTTAAGGTAAACTGAACACATTTTCACAGCTTTTGCTCAGTTGGAAAAAATCATTTTTTATTTTATTCTTATTTCTATTTTTTGTTATGAAATTAGAAGTTTTACACATTAAATATCATACGAGCAGTAACGATCGTTAATAATATTTCAAGTTACTTTTTACAACAAAAGATACTAACGTAAATGAATATTGGATAAGAAAAGTAATCAGTATTTTTTCAATTGTGCGAAGTAAGATAAATAATTTATGAATGAGCTTCGCTGTTGTTTTATTTATTATGCTGTCTGGTGTGTGTTTTTAAGAATATTTGTTGTAAACTAATTTAATATTTCTTTAGGCGCCTTTTCGGTGTAGTCAATATTTTAGTAT